CCCCAAAACCCCAAAACCCCAAAACCCCAAAACCCCAAAACCCCTACCTAAATGCAGAAAATTGGATAAGCATTTGAGTTTGAGCATTTATAAACAAAATGCTTTAAAACTTCTTGGTCTTCTTGATCACCTTTCTTAAGGTTCTGTGATGAGGGTTCACCACGGTGTTTCTCTGATGCACGAAGTTCTCATTTTCAACTGCATCCCGCAGCTTAGAAGCAATCCTTCTCAAGTTCTTATTCTCATCAGATTTCTTCTTCAGATCTGTTTTTGTCTTCTCAAGCTTTTTAGTAAGTGATTTAACTTGTTTCTGAGAGACCTTCATCTCAACTTTCATTGCTGCTAACTCACCAGCGGTTTGTTGGTAAATAAGGTTCAAGGATTCAATATTCTTTTCATAATTCAGCATGATTTTGGTCTTACCAGTATGGTCACTATCAACAATATCTCTCAGCTTGGCATATTGCTCCTGATGAATATCTATTTCCATCTCAAGTTGTAGAACTTTTTCGATCCTATTCTGCAGGCTCTCCATGATCTTCTCCTTCTCGTTGGTAAACTCTTCTTTAATATCCTCTAGCTTGTCTTCAGCCATCGCATCTGCGATAGCTTCAAGATCGGATTTTTCAATATTAGCCAAGGAGGCTACCTTAGCTTGGAGAGCACTGTTTTCCTTCTTTAGCTTGGACACTTTCTTCTTCTTTTTGGATAGTAATTTCTGATCCTCTTTTTGCTTAGCAATAATTCTTTCAACATCAGATGGAGCTAAGTATCAAGAATCCTGCTTTGGGACCAGGTCAATATCTCCCCCTTCTATAAGGAACTTCTTAAGCAGAGGATTATCGCTATCTGCCATGGCTTGCTTCTCTTGTTCAAAAAGTTTATGTTGAGACTCTTCAATAATAGCTTTCAGGTCTGAACTAACATCAGGATTTTGTTGTATTTGGTTCAAAAGCTGGTCTCTTTCAGCAATTTGATCATGTAGAGCTTTGATCTCCATTCTGATCACCTCATCTCCTTCAATAACTTCCTTTCTAAACTCCTTGTTCTGCTTGGATTCATCTATCATGAACTCAGTGCCTTTCTCTTCGTATCTCTCAACTTTAGCTTTAGCTGTGACATAGAGCTTTTTGATTTCAGCTAGTTCTCTCTCAACCTTGGTCATTTTGGCATTTGTAACTAAACAATTGGGTTAGAGTCCAAATTTGTGTAAGAGCTTACTCTCAAGTTCATTCTTGGCGTCTTCAGTTTCTTCCTTTAACTCATTTACCTTTTGTTCAGTGGCTTCCTTGTAGTTATCGAAATCTTCTTTTACCAGAGAAAGCTTTTGGATCTTTGATTGGAAGATTTGCTGATCTTCTTGGAGGTTAGAGATTAAGTCGACTTGATTTTGACATTTTTCTCTCTCTTGAGTGAGGAGTTTCTGAGCTTTAAGGTATTCCTCCAAAATTTTGGCCTGGGTTTCTGAGGAGTTACCAGTGTTTGACTCAACTAACTGAAGGAATTTCTGGGCTTTCTCCTTCTGTTCTTCATCAATAAAATTATTGGAATCATCCTCATCGATCTTAGACTCCTCCAAGTCTTCAAGTTGTTCTTGAGGAGGGATATCAAATTCAACATAGTCCCCAGTGTCTATCTTCTCTTCATCATTTTTTTCTTCTTCAGAATTTTCTTTTTCCTCTTCATCGTTCATTTCCTGTTCTTCCTGGATGATCTTATCTACTTCAGGACCAAGCTTCTTGGCGAGTTCCTTCAGAGTTTCGTCTGATGGGACCTCAAGACCATTTTCCTTAATGAAATTTTCTAAGAAGAGGATTCTCTTTCGAAGAGCTGAAATCAGCTTGTCCTTCTTAGACACAATCAGTTTTAGCTCTGCTACAGTGTATTCCCTGTTTACTTTAGGCTTATTTTTGATGTTCCTAGCAGCAGTCCCAAACCTCAGAGTCGAAATAGTTTCCAGCTCATTGTACGGTGAGGGTGAACATGTGATGATTAAGCATGTTTTAGCATTACCTCCCAAGGATTCTGTCAAAATCCTGGTGAGCTTGGACTCTCTGTAAGGAACGTGGGTGGTCTTCTTATCTGTCAAAGCGTGGATCACCTTACCAAGAGTACTCAGAGATTGATTGATTCCTTTAGCTTCTTCTAACTGTGTTCCCCTCACATTAGTTTTTGCCACTTTCTCAGATCCTGCTAAATCAACAAGGTAAAGATTTCCTGACTTTGAAGAATGATCATCCAAATTATTCTGAGCAATATTCATAATGAAGATAGAGTGAGATCTTGAAGAGGCATCATTCATCTGAGTGCTTGCAACAGTCCTGTTGTCATTACCGACCTTCATTATATCGTACACATCAGTTTCAGATGCGATGTATTGTTCTGTTAAATCCTGTACGTAAATTCCTCTGTCTTTATCTTTCTTAATTTTCAAATTCACCTTGGTGGGATCAAGTAAATCCTTAATTTTCTCCATATAAATTTCAGCCATGGAGACTTTGATTGTATATTCTACGTTATCATCTAAGGAGTTGATACGGTTGAATATTGTTCTGACCATCCTAGGAACGATCCCTTGCTGCTCAAGGTCTTCGATATCAGGTCCTTGCATGGTATGGGTCTTTCCAGAGCCAGTTTGTCCATATGCAAAGACTGTTCCGTTAAATCCCTTAAGTACTCCCTCAATAATAGGTTTGGCTGCTTTTTCATAAACTTCTCTCTGTGTAACCTGGGTATCAAAGACCCTATCAAATGTGAACTTGTTGCTGCCTGCAGAGCCGCCGGAATTCTTCGAACAGAGGATGGTGACTGATTTCTGGTTATCACTAAACTGTCAAATCTGTTCCTCTCCGTTCTTGCTAAGCTCACTTTGGTTTACTGGCCTGAATCTGCAGACAACTTTTACGTTTCCGCTGTCTGATTGGGCTTCTTTCTTGTCTTCCATATTTAACCAAATTTATGTAATTTACTCTAAGAAAAATCAATAATTTTAAGTACAAAAGGGGTTTTGGGGTTTTGGGGTTTTGGGGG